AACATGAGACATTATGCAATGCACATGTCACCTACCACAAAGTTATACAGGGATCAGAGGCATTTATAAGGATCATCTCAGTAACTGATGATAAGAAAAGCATTTATAACAAGAATTTTCAGCCCTGCAAGCATATTAGAATTGCTGGGGGGCATTTTGAAAACTATCAAAGACTAGACTCTAAGCAAAATTAGTTGTCTCCTCTAAGACTCTAAATGTTTACATCATGTCTCCATCTTCTCCAACATCTAAAGCCCTAATACTCTTGGCTTTCTGGTACTTGTGGTCCGTCATCTTCCTTGTGATATCTGCTAAGCTCTTACAGTACAATGTTGTGAGTTAGAACTCGGAGTTTCTTTCTCAGGTACTTCACTTGTTCCCATTGCTAGATACAGATGAAAAGGGTTAACGTAGCTCACACTGCTCAGATGCAGAACTCCTGTGTAGGACCCGACCCTCCCCAAAGCTTTCCCAGGACACTGGTTCTGCCCGGCACATCCATCTCTAGCCAGTTCCTGCTTTCACCACACTGGTCTTCTCTCTTCTCCCCGGAGGACGTGCATGGTAAGCGATTTCATTATACAGTCATCTCAAGCATAATCCCTGGTTAAACACAGATGTTCTCTTACTCTGAACCTTCACTCATAAAGTCAAACGTAGCAAAAAGTAAAATAGGTAGATATTGTACAAATGTATTCTTTTCTCTAAGATAAAACTTTTCATCCTTCAAGGAAGCTCATAAGTCATAGGTTTTCTTTAAGGGAGATAAAACCTTCCATCCTCCCGGGAAGCTCAATAAGCTTAGGAAAGAAACATCTCAAAGGCTTCAGGAATCTTATGTAAGGAGTCAGTCAGTAGGCTTTTGCCTCTCCAAGCATACAGAAGCAGCAAGGTCTTCTGGAAGACCGATTAAGACAAACAGAGTGGCTTAGAAGGAACAAACCAGACCAGCTGAGATAAGCAGAGCTACCTGGAAATGGCTCAGGTTACCTAGGCTGCCTTAAAAAGATAGTCTATAGCATGTTGTGCCTCCTGCAAGTTGCATAGTGTTTTCTGAGTTTCCAGCTTTGGTGCAACAGGCTTTTGGTGACAAGTCTTTGGGTTCTTTCTGCTTCTGTAAAGGACTCTTTACCTATATGTTGCAAGAAGGCTGCTAGTTAGCTCCCAGCCCATTAGCCCCAAAATAACCACACACATACTGTATTAATTAAATTACTGCTTGGACAATTAGCTCTAGCTTCTTATTGGCTAACTCTTACATCTGAATTTAACCCATTTCTATTCATCTGTGTATCACCACAAGGCTGTGGCTTACCTAGAAAAGTTCCAGTGTTTATGTCTGTCAGGCTAGAAAAGTTCCAGTGTTTATGTCTGGCAGGCTACATGGTTTCTCTCCACCTCCACCATTCTTTCTCCCAGCATTCAGTTTAGATTTCCCTGCCTAGCTCTTTTCTACCCTATCAGGCCAAGCCAGTTTCTTTATTCACCAATGGTATTTACAGCACACTTATATTCCTGTAAGAAAACCCAATAAATCTGTTGGCTCATCCAGTTGGATCTTGGTGCTACACTTAATTTGGTATGTCATTGTTATGCTCGAATCATGGAGTCTCCCCAAAACTAAGTAGGAGACTAAGTCCTGTATGTAAAAGCAAAGAGCCTTTATTCTTACACAAGATAAATTCTTACACAGACTCGGCCTCTCTGAGTGTCCAGTGTATTGGAGAGATTAGAGAGCCCTAGCTCAGTTAAGGGTGGGGTATTATAGTAACAAAGGTAGGGGTGAGGGATTTCTAAGGTTCAGGAACTCTGATTGACTGACATTTGTCTAGGAATGTCCTCATGAAAAGCAATGGGTGTGTGCTGGCAGATGATTTTATCTGGTTGAATAAAATGGTTGAATGCTAGGAATTTCCTTTGGATGGTCTGTTCCTGGGTGGTGCTTGGGTAGTCTCAGTTTGTCGTTTTTCTTGGAACCAGTCATTGACTTAGCAAGAACTACTGAGACTCAGGCGTCTATAGACTTTGTCATGGCTGGGTCCTACAGTCATCTCTTTTCTGTCTAGGATTATTGGAGGATGAGGTTTGCTCACATCTCCCCCAAGAATGGTGTTACCCAACAGTAGGTGTTCTAAGTGTACTTTGAGATCACGAACATTAAGTAGCTCCTTTTATGCAACTCTCAGTCAGAACATATTTTCCTAATCCACACATCATCTTGTCCTAATAAATGTCTACTTAATGCTTCCCTCTCCTTCATCAATTCTTTAACACCCCCTCTTCCAGTTCAGCTTCTTAACAGCCTATGTAGGCATTGACAGCAGAAAGGAAGCAACTAAGTTCCCATCATCAACTGCATCAATCAAGTTCTGCCTGTGCTCATTACTCTAAAGAACCTCAAGCCAAAGTCAATCCCATGATTTATGTGCCCAGGGGCATCTTCACTGGCCTATGTATGGGCATGTCCTGATAATAGTATCTCACCTATGAGTATCTGCTCACTGATTAATATTTTACAGCAAAATGTAAATATGTCAAAATATATTTAATATGGATTAGATTCTAGTTTATATTACATAATAATTATATCATTATTAAGTTTCCTAGCTTGGGTCATTATATTGTGGCTATACATAAGAATGACCTTATTCTATGAAAATATGCAATGAATAATTAAGAAATGGGACATACTAGGTCCAATTAATATTTTATCAGTTCAGGAAGAAAGAAAGGGAAAGTAAGTAAGGGGAGAGTGATAATGAGTGTCAATACAATATAAGAGCTAAGAATTAGTAGGCTAAGTAAAAGCTGTTGTATTTCTGGTTTCTCCAGAATTGCAGAATCAAGAGTATGTAGAGTTACAAATTAAAAAGGGATAGCCCTACCATTATCTCAGGTATAAAGATTTTAGTTGGTAGTAGAGATGCCTCCTAATTTTTTTAAAAAAAAATTGGATTAATGACCTAAAATCTTAAGTTATTCAATAATATATCATTCCATTATTTGATATGTACAAGGTATTAATCAATAAATTCACTTCAGAAGAAATACTAATTTCTAGGCTGAGAAGAATTAGAATCGTATACATTTGTAAAGATAACAATGTTGAGTAACACCTATTGATCAAGATAGCTTTAAAAGCCTTGTTATGCCTGAAATTTTATTTCATTTAAGCTGGTTTTATGCAAATGACTTACCAGTAGTGTATTTCACACAGTTTTGGACAGTGGATATCAGATGGGATAACTCCATCACAATCCTTCAGAGTCCTGAGCTCTAAGTAACCACACACCAGGAACCCATGTTCTTTGATATCCTAGCAGTGGGACAGAGACCAGCTCTGATAAAGATTTATACAGAAAATTTACTCTAATTACTAATCCAACTGAAAAAGTCACCTTGCCAATTTTCTTGGTCAAAGTTAGAGTTGATGGAAATTTCTTTGCAGGATTTTTTTTTAATTATCAACTGATAATTACCACTGTCACGGAGAAATGCATGAATGGAAAGCTTTATTGAAAAGATCTGAAATTTTATTCAAAGCAAACATGCTATTTTTCAAATAATAAAAACTGGAGACAAATGAATAAAGGAGCCTACACTGTGAGCTCACAGGCAGAGGAGGACAGAACACAGGCAACATCTCTTTTAGCACCTGGCCAAGTATTTCTACCCTTTAAGATAACCTGTGACTTAACAAGAAAACAAACAAACAAAAAATAGGGTTTCATAATTTTTTTTTGTAGAGTGTGAAAGGGAGGAGAAAAAAGGATGAGAGAAGGGAGAAGGGAAGCTAGACAAGGAGATAGACAGGGGAGAGGGGAAATGAAAATAATAAAAATATTTACCTGACTGTTGTTTATATATTTATTTTAAATCATGAGCATATGTACGTGGGGGGAGCCATTATGCACATGTGAGTGCAGGTACTCATAGAGGCCAGAAGAGGGCACCAGATTCCCCAAAACAGTGATTACAAGCAGTTGTGAACTACAAGATGTTGGAGACTGAAGCCCTGACCTTTTCAATAGCAGTATGTTCTCTTAAATGCTAAAACGTCTCTCCAGTCCCTAACTTTTTTATGTATTGAGCTATGCACTGATTAAAGAAGTTAAGATTAGTAAGACTCGATCATTTTAAAAATAACAGAAGTAATAAAACCTGTTACTAACCAACTCAATTGTCTTGACCTCTGGAGGTTCCTCAGTTATTCTACAACACTGATGGACATGGTAGATAATGGCAGCTGTATTTGAATAACACTTCAGAGCTAATTTAATAGCCCTCTTCAAAACAGAGGAAAGAGTTAAAATGGATATCTCAAAGTTCCCTCTCAATCAGATTTTTAAAAGACAAATTTTTAGAAAGCTGTTAGGACTGCATTAAATGCTCCTCTTTCAAACATCTTTCTTGCTGGCAAGTTGCTGTTAAAAATTAAAGGGTAAAAAAAAAAAAGAGGTCATCTTTTTGTGCCATACATGTCTAATGGACCTGAAGCCAAAATAAGTCAGACTAAATTATAAAAGTCAGTGACCTCCGTGGAAGTATTATACAGCATTCCAAAGCACTATAAGGACTTTCCTGTGATCTTTTTAGCCTTGCAACCAGAAATTCAAAAACTTATTTAATTTTAGAATGCATATATCACCTTTTAAATTTTCTCTCTAAAACGATAAATCATTTTAAATAATAGGGCACCTTTAGCTTGTATTTCTTTAAGTTCCTCGCTGTCGATTCTTTATTCCTTTCTATAAAACCTGGCATGGGTGCAATTAACTGCTGGTATCTGGCGTTTGTTGCTATAACGGACAAAACACTGACCTTCATGTTAGGGGCAATGCTTCAACTCCATCTTACTTCAAGGGTGAAACAACTAATTCCGAAAGTTTTTGTTCACACCCTAGTAAGACACTGAATTCAGGTGGAGAGGTTGAAAAGAGATAAATCTTCAGATCCCTGTGCTTAGGACTCTTTTGGATAAGCACATCCCATCAACACACCTTTGAGCAGCTCGCAGGCAGGTGCACTTGTTTGCCATACAATGCTTTCCATAGCCACGCAGGTGTCTAATTGAGCAGCGCGTTAAGGATAATGTGGGTCCGTTGCCACCTGTAAATCATTTGGCATTCTTAAACAGCCCGTAGAGGATCCCATGGACCTCCTCTATACAAGCTCACTGAGGATGTCCTTATTGCCATCTTTGTGGAGATTATTGCAGCATCTGCTAAGTCTAAAAGAAAAAAAAAAGTAGACAATGGTAGCTTGATTTCATAACTATGGCTTGTTAAGCGGAAGATAAAATTTTGATGTTATCTGTTAATTCGTGCTGAAGTCTGATTGGTGTGGAAGAGATCAACAGTCACAAAAATGAAGCGCCACAATGAAGTTAATAAGTACCACCCGGAGACTAAAAATATCCCTCGGCGAGTTCAGGGAGCAGGCTGGATGTGCGAGCACTGAGCCCGTGCGTTTGGACCTTGCTTACAGGTGCTCTCCAAATGGTCATGTGACTTCTGTTTGAGCTTTAACAAAATTCAGTGTGACTTTTTCAGATGCTATTCTGATCCAAACTGCGCTTTCCATACAAAATTTTACCCACCCGGCCCATATTCACCACAGCTATTTCATGTTTCCTTTGATTACGTTTACCATGGTAATGTGGCCTTAAAGACACCACGTGGATTTCCTGTGTTTCCTAGCACAATTTTAAAATCATGAATGTCAATTGTGTCCTGCATACCACATTGCTAGGGCTGAGAAATGAAGTGAAGTACTTAGTCAGTGTATTTTACAGTGGACCGACTCTCAGAATCATGCCCCTAAGGGCCTGGCACCCGCGTACCTCTGAGAGTGTCTCCATGCTTCGTAAAAACCTGGAATTTGGTACAGAATTTAGCTAGTTCCATGTGTTCATAAAATGGTAGTTATGGGTGCCAAAATAAGCTACTTTCTGGCGTAAATTGCTTCTAATTATTATCTTCCCAAGTACAACTATAAGACTAAAGCATCACAAATACATATTATTTGAGAACACTGACAAAAATCCACGTTAATAAGAATTTGAGAGGCTTATCTACTAAGAAAATACGCATTCCATGGAGGAATTTCCTAACATTTGCCATTACCATTGTTCTCAGAACATTTGCCAATAGTTCTATTATTAATATGCAAAAATAATAAAAAAAAGACTTTCACTATGTAAGTCTTTAATATGTTAAATATGAATTCTAAAAGGAAGACACAACTCTGAGAGATCGCTGTGCCCATTTAACAGCAGATCAGTCTGAGCACAGGAAATTTCTAGAGTGAAATAAAGAGGTAAACAGGGAGTTTATATACATGTATGGCTATGAATATATAGACAGAGACTTGTGGAAAGAAGATCTTGTTTATGTATAAGTAAAGGCCCAAAGAAGATGAAGCCAAAAAGAATGAGAAGAAAAATTTCAAAATTGTTTAATACAAATTTTCTAAACAGATACAAGAAATGTATAGTACCTTAAGAGTGGTGAAAGGCATTTGAAAAAATCTAACACCTCATCATGATAAAAGTCTGGGCGAGATTGGAAATATGTATATATATATATTAAAGGCAATTGACAGCAAGTCTATAGCTAGCATCAAATGGAATGGGGAGAAACTCAAAGTATTTTCAATAAAATCAGAAACAAGACAAGGTTGTCCACTCTCTCCATATCTACTCAATACTGTACTCGAAGTTCCAGCCACAGGAATAAGACAACTAAAGGAAATCAAGGGGACACAAATTGAAAGGGAAGAAATCCAAGTATTGTTATTTGCAGATGATCTGATAGCATACATACGTGACTCTAAAAATTTCACCAGGGAACTCCTACTGCTGATAAACAACTTTAGAAATATGGCTGGGTACAAGATTAACTCAGAAGAAATGAGGGAAACGGCTTTGACAATAGCCACAAACAATATAAAATAACTTGGGTTAACACTAACAAAACAAGTTAAAGACTTATGTGATAAGAAATTCAAATATTTGAGGAAAGAAATTGAAGTTGGAAAGATTATTTTATTCTCATCATTGGGCAGGATTAACATAGGAAAAATAGCCATTCTAGATTCAATGCAATCTTCATGAAAAAGTTCAACACAATTTTTACAGATCTTGAAAGTACAACTCTCAACTTTATATGGAAAAACAGCAACAACAGAAAAGAACCCAGAATAGCTAAAACAATATTGAATAATATGAGATGTGTGTCCCACCATTCCTGAATTCAAGTTGTACTACAGAGCAATAGTAAGAAAATCCACATGATATTCAGATAAAAACAGACACATTGATCAATAGAATCAAATTGAAGATCCAGGCATAAATCCACATACCTTTGGAACCTGATTTTTTTATATAGAAGGCAGAAATAAATACACATTGGAAAAAATGATAGCATATTCAGCAAATGGTGTTAGTCAAACTGGTATCTACTGGTAGAATGTAAATAGATTCATACTTATCACCCTGAACCAAACTCAAGTCCATCCGGGTGTTGGTGGCTCATGACTTCAATCCCAGTACTCAGAAGGGAAAGGTAGGTGGATATCTGTGAGTTCAGGGCCAGCCTGGTCTACAAAGTGAGTTCCAGGATAGCAAGACTGTTTCACAGAGAAAACATTTCTTGAAAAAAAAAAAAACCCTCAAATCCAACTGGATCAAGGACCTTAACATAAAACTAGAAACATTGAACCTGATAGTAAAGAAAGTAACCTTGAATCCATTGGCACAAGAGACAAGAGCACCAATAGTGCAGACACTAAGATCAATGATTAATAATTAGGACTTCATGAAACTTAAAAGATTCTGAAAAGCAAAGAATACCATTAATCAGACAAAGTAGTGAGTGGCCTATAGAATAGGAAAACATTTTTTTTAACCAACTCCACATGCAGGTGAGTACTAATATCCAGAATATATAAAAAAAAAACCTACTTTGAGATACAATCTTACACCTGTCAGAATGGCTAAGATCAGTAACAGAAGTGACAACTAACTCATGATGGTGAGGATATGGATCAAGGGTAATAGGCCTACATTGCTCGTGGGAGTTCAAACTCGTATATCCACTAAGGAAATTAATATGGTGGTTGTCTAGAATGCAAGGAATCAATCTACCTTAAAACCCAGCTATACCACTCTTGGGCATACACCTTAAAGATATTCCATGTAAACACAAGGATACTTGTTCATTCATGTTCACTTTGACATTATCATAATAGCCAGAAACTGGAAACAGCCCAGATACTCTCAACAGAAGAATGGATGAAGAAAATGTGGTACATGGAATATTACTCCATTGTTAAAAAAAAATGATTCACGCAACTGAATGGAACTAAAAAAAAATCATCCTGAGTGTGATAACCCAGACCCTAAAAGATAAATATAGTATGTATTCATTTATAAGGGGATATTGCCCATTAAGTAAATGATAACCAAGCTACAATACATAGACCCATAGGGATTAAGGAAACTGTAGGGTGTAGTGGAGACAAAAGCCTTTCCTTGCCAGAGGGAAATAGAATAGATTTTATGGGTGGACTGAGTCAGGAGGGGATAAAAGTAGGAGGATCAGTTAGGTGATAGATGGGGCATAGTAAGAGAGTGTGGGGAGGGATAGCTAGAATTGAGAGGGGGGGCATTTAGGAAGTGGTATGAAAACTTAGTGCAGTGGAAAGTCCCTTAAATCTAGGAAAGTAATCCTAATGAGGACGCCTAGCGACTGGATCCACTTTAATGAGAGACTTTGTTTCAAAAAATAAAGTGAGGTGTAATTGAGAAATACATGTGCCCTCAATTTGTAAGCTCCATACAAATATGCATATTAATACACCTATGCCAAATGAACATATGCATATATGAAGATAATACAGGAAGATAATATTGTTTGAGTGGAACCTCCATCTTGACCCCACCTCCCCCCCCTTCTCTCTGCAGACTCTACCTTTAGAAAGGATGCCAAGTGACAGTTTCTCCCTCTGAGATACTCAGGACCATGCCAACAGGGTATTTAAGACCTGGTCCCTAGATCTGCCATGTTATTCTCTCCTGTTTCCCCCAAGAGTCACCATGAAGGGTTTTTATTTTTTTGCTCTGTTTATTAAACCTGGTTTTATTTATTTGACCTGATATGACTTACTTGCATTTGCAGAAGTATTCACAACCAAAGAATTTCAAAATACTTATCAACTATGACAGCAAGACAATAGCCACAAAGGAAAAGTGAGTTTGAACTTATTAGGAATCATCAATTATATCACATTACAGAAATGGAAAATTAAAATTTAAAATAAGAAAAAAAACACTACACAATTCTCACTGCTGACAGAGAACAAGTACATAGAATACACATTATACTAATGTGCACATATGCCCTAAGTATGTAGATTTTTAAACCAAAATGAATTGCAGAAATGAAAACAAAAAGATGATGATAAAATTTAAAATGTGGAAAATTCACAAATAGTTTATTCCACAGAAGATATTCAAAGAGTAAATAACTATAACTGAATGTTTGACATATCATGCATCTACTTAGTAATTGGTAATACAAGTTCAAACCAAAATTGTATAACAGTACACTGTGAAGGCTTGAATGATAATAGCCCCCATGGACTCATATTTGATTGCTTGGTCTACAATTAGTTGAACTGTTAAGGTAGGATTAGGTGTGACCGTGTTAGAGAAAGTGTGTCACGGGTTATGGGCTTTGAGAAGTCAAAAACCCACTCCAGTTGTCTTGCTAGTTGTCTCTTGCTTGTGGGTTAGGATATAAGCTCTCAGCCTCTGCTCCAGCACCACACCTGCCTGACAACCATGAGTCCCAAATTAAATGCTTTCTTTTATAGGTTGCCTTGGTTATAATGTCTATTCACAGCAACTGAATAGCAACTAAAACATATGTATGCTTTAAAAATCTAAGGTTAAAAAAATAACACTGCAAAGTGCTTGTTAAAAAATATATACAAGCAAGTCTACATGTAGAGGAATTAAAATAGATCCATATCTATCACGATGCACAAAATTCAAGTCCAAATGGATCAAAGACCTCAACATAAAGCCAACCACACTGATCCACACAGAAGATAAAGTGGAATGTACACTTGAATGCATTGGGACAGGAGACAACTTCCTAAATATAACCCCAGTAGCACAGACACTGAGAGAAACAATTAAAATATGGGACCTCCTGAAACTGAAAA